TATCAAACTGAGCCTCCCCTGATATCAAACCTCACTGCTGAGCCTCCCCTGGTATCAAACTGAGCCTCCCTGATATCAAACTGAGCCTCCCTGATATCAAACCTCACTGCTGAGCCTCCCCCCCTCCTGCAGAAGCCACAGAACCGGGGGAACGCTGGCTCCTGGATGCCCCAGCCCTGATTCTGCTTCTCCAGGGATTGTGAGAACTCTCCCCGTTCCCAATGAGGCTCAGGGAGGCTCCTGGAGCTGCACTTTTGGCCTCGGCAGAGGACGGGAACTTTGCTGAGCTGAATTCCACGCGGGACACGGAAAGGGAGCAGCTCCAGGGCTCCCTGTCCTCCACCATCGCCCTCATCATCGTGCTGCTCCTCATCCTCTCCCTGCTCGTCACATCCCTCGTCACCTACTGCTTCCACAAGTGGAAACTCAGAGGGAAAAGACTGCAGAAAGCACAGGAGGAATATCAGAGAGACCAGGAAAAGAGCATTTCCCAAAGCACACCCGGACTGGTTTCAGAAAAAGAGGAAAACCAGGATCTACCATGAAGTACTTTTTGAATTACCTGAAAATGAAAAAAACATGAGAGAACTGCAGATTTGAAATTTCCAAGTGAATACATTCTTGTTTTATCTCATTTCTAAGAGTTGGAGTTTGGAGATTTCCTACAGCTTTATTATACATATTATATATATATATATATTTATACATTTAGTCTCATTTGTGCAAAGTAAAAGCAATGCAATGATGTATTTTTAATCTCTTCTGTCATTTTAATCCTTGCTGGGCAAATTGTGGCAGTGCCTGTGAGGGTGGGGAGGCCCTGGAATAGAATTCCCAGATTTGCTGGGGCTGCTCCTGGATCCCTGGAAGTGTCCAAGGCCAGGCTGGAGCAGCCTGGGACAGTGGGAGGTGTCCCTGGAGAGTTTTTGGGTCTATTCCAACCCTAACCACAATTTATTTTTTTTTTTCTGTGTATTACTGAACCAGCAAAATCCAATCTGCTGCTTTCACCCTTTCCAAAAGGCACAGGGAGGTGAAGAGGCAGATTTGGGGTGTCCCAAAGCAGGGACACTGATCCCAGCAGAATTCCTTGCAATTCCCTCGGAGCCAATCCCAGCTGCTGCTCCTCAAGAGCTGCTCATGGGCCAAAGCTGATATTTCAATGTTTGCTTCACACCAGGGCTGTGCTGAGAGCTGTCAGCATTCCCACAAATTCCCAATTCCCTAGGGAAGAGGCAGCCTAAACCCCTTTTTTTAAAAAAATTAATTATCCAATCCTTTTTAAACCACCCAAGCACGGCGTGTTTCTATTTCCATGTGTGATGTCACAGAGAAATGACAGATTTCTTGGGAGCAGCACTCGGAAGAAATCTTTTTTAAGCAAGTGATGGATGTAATATGAATAAATGTCATTGTTTTAGAAAGTAGGAACAGTGTGAAGGTGCCACCAGCCCCCTGCTCAAGTCACAGCTTGCTTGCAATTACCAGTACTGCTGTATGTATTTTTAAACAAGCTAAAATACTGTGATGATGCTGTAAACTTACCTCTGTAGGCAAAAAATATTCTATTTCAAAATGTCAGGATGAAGGATGTAAATGTTCTGAAAGTGCTATCAACAACAACAACAACAACAACAAAAAAAAAGAATTTTCACAGAATATTCTAAAGGATTCTGTTACATGCTACAAATCTATTTTACAAGGGTATTTATGGATCATACAGCCTAGTCTGTGAGAACAGTACTATTTTATTACAGAATAAATAAATGAATAAATGAGCAGTGAATATCCATGCCCAGAAGGTGGAAAATGTTTGGGGTTTGGGGTTTTTTTTTAGTGCTCTGATCAATTTTTTAGGTGATCTGAAAGATGGAATTCACTCCCCCTCGTCTCCCATTCACATCCTGCTGCTGTCAGTGCTGCCAAAGATCTTCAAAATCAATCGTGGAGGGAAAAAAAAAAATTAATTAATTGCACGAAAACAATGCAAATGTGTCGTTGATAGGATCGATATCTGTTTGCCATCAGGAAAACCCAGAGCAGTGAGGAAAGCAGCCCTGGGGCAGGCAGGGCTGATCTGCACACACCCAGTGCCTTCCTCAGGGCCACAATCCCCAAAAATGTGAAAAAATCCCAGGCAGGAGGTGATAAAATGGCAACTGGAAGAATGCAGGGAGATGGGGAAAGGCTGGAGGATGCAGAGCTGGCAGCACTGCAGCTCCTGCTGGAGGGTTTGGGGAAGGTTTGAGGGTTTTGGGGGTTTTTTTGGGGGGTGCTGGGGCAGCTCCAGTTCCATGGAGCAAAACCTCGTCCTTGGTGCCACCAGCTGAATATTTTTTGTCAAGCTCCCAAAACCAATAAATGGGTTCAGCTCCTCTTCTTGGAACCTCATCAAATTGGCTGGGGTCAAAAATAAAACTAAAAAAAACTACCCCAGGCTCACCCATATATAAATATATAAACACCCCAGGGGAATTTCTGAGGAGACACTGAGGGACCCCAGGGGAGCCTGGAGCATTTCAGATTTCTGTAAAACTTCAGAGGAAAGGTCCAGGATGAATGGAAGGAAGTCACAAAGATGCTCTGAGGGCTGGAGGAAAGGAAAAGGAAAAGGAAAAGGAAAAGGAAAAGGAAAAGGAAAAGGAAAAGGAAAAGGAAAAGGAAAAGGAAAAGGAAAAGGGAAAAGGAAAGGAAAGGTTCCTGTAGCTGAAGGGGACCTGCAGGGAAGATGGACACAGCTCCCAGCAGACCCTGTGCCCTCAGGACAGGGGAGAATGGTTTTACCTGCAGGAGGGCTGGTTTAGATCCCAGGAAGGTTTTTCCACTGGGGAGGCCCTGGAATAGAAATCCCAGATTTGCTGTGGCTGCTCCTGGACCCCTGGCAGTGTCCAAGGCCAGGCTGGAGCAGCTGGAATTGTGCAAGGTGTCCCTGCCATGGCAGGGTGGCCTGGGTGGCCTTTGGAAGGTCTCTTCCAACTCAAAACTCTTTTATGATCCTACCCTGGACCAGGGGAACCACAAGAGATTTCCTCAGTAGCAGCAAATCCAGATTCAAATATCCCAGAATCATGGAATGGTTTGGCTTGAAGGGACCTTAAATCTCATCCAGGGCCACCTGAACGTTCAGCTTTGTTGCCAGCTCACATCCAGGGAAATTAATGAACTAAAACCTCATTCCCACCCAGAGCTGGGCCAGCAGTCTGTTAGGACTGAGATGGAAGTTGTTCCTAGAGATACAAATTCCCAGATCCTGAGAGATGGGTGGAAAGGAGGTGAAGGGATGAGGGAGCCCGGGATGCTCCAGGCTGGAAAAGGTTGGGTTTTTATAAAGCTAGAGCAAATGAAAGGGAAATGCTGCAGTCCACGGGAAATTGATTGTAATGATAATTGGAGGAATGACAGTTTCTGCAAAGGGTCAGTGATCAAATCCAACATCCCCAAAGTGGGAATCAGCACACACAGAGCATGGAACAACTGAGGTGGGAGAAACCTTCTTTGTTAGCTCAGAGCTCAGAGCAATGAACCCATCACATCAGCAACCATGCAGAAGATTAAATCATGCGACTCTGGGTGGCACAAAAAACACAAAGGCCAAGGTGCAGAGCCCTTTGAAGAGGCAGATTGATTTGTTTCCCAGCTCCTTTTCCCAAGAAATCCCTCCCTGAGCCACCCTGGAGGCTCCTTTTATGGCCCAGCAAGCACAAAGCAGGCAGCAGATGAGTCAATATTCCTTGACCAGAGTTTTGAGGTTTCTTTGGATCAAAAGAAAAATCTGCTGCTGGAGGGAGGAGCTCCTGGAAGGGGAAAAAGGAAGAAACATCACCCACCCTCTTTCCCACATCTTCCCTGGCAGAGGTTTGGATCTCCAGCCTTAAAAACTGCAGGATTAGAAAATAAATTATTTAAGGCTTCAGATCATTCATTCCATTGCATATCTCCAAGAGCTGCTGAAGAAAAACCACTCAGATCTCATTGCTGATAAAAGACTGAAACAAATGTAGTGAACAGCAGGAAAATGCATCCAACAGCCATCAGCAAAATCTGCTTTGATTTTCCTGAGGACTTACCTGAGTTGTGTTTGTAACATTTATGCAAACAAACAAGAGCTGTGCAGGCACTGTGTGTGAGCGGGATGCTGCTCCACAGACAAATACTGTCAGACATAACCCAAATAACTCACAACTCAGGATTTACACAGAGGTCTGATGACAGCAGCTGCAAAGGAATTTCAGCAGCTCTAGAAAGCTTCTGTGTTCTGAAAACAAACCCACCAACATGTGCATGGAAGTCTCTTTTTGTGGGGCTGAGATCTGTGCTGTAAAATGACATTTTCTAAGGGTTCAGCTCCTGATCACCTCCTGTACACCTGACAGCCCTTCCAAGGCTCCACCTGAAATTCTGGGTGCTTTTCCCAGTGTCTGCAGACACTTCCAAAGGCTCAGGGAACCAGGGAGTGCAAAACCAGTGAGAAGCAGAGCTGGGGTATCCACAAAGAGATTGAATTTAAACATTTCTAAAGATTCCAGAGCACCAGGAAGGAACAAGCAGAGTTTATTCATTAGCCAGGAGCTCTGCAGGGACAATTCAAAAAGGGGATGTTTTTTAGGGGAGTATTTTTGATGGATTATTAAAGCTGTTTGTAAGGAAAAGCAGCACTGGGTAACTCAGGGCTGGGCTCCCACCTGGGGCTTGACCTGCTCAGGATCCACTCCCAGAGAAATCACTCAGAGATTTTTAGATTTTTAAGCAGCAAAAAGGCAAAACTTTGCTATCACTGCTGTTTATATCCCAGGATTTCCCTCCAGCTTTTCTGGGAAGTGAGAACTAAACAGCCCTCAAGGACTCTGATAAACAGCACAGAGCACAAGCAGTGAAATACAAAGCCCAATTCAGCACCGAGGGGAAGAAAATGCAGCAGGGGGGGTTTGATCCTCTCTGCTTTGGCACCAAAACAGTCATTTCATCATTTTGAAAAATTAAAACAAATTCCAAAGTATTTCCTTATCCTTCTTATTCCAGTTTTAATCTGTTGGTTTTTTTTCTATCTTATATAGATTTCATGATTAATTTATTATAATTTCTCATCCCACTGGCATCCCCAGTCCTGCTGATTAATTTCTGTTACAGCCTCATTATTTCCCTTCTGTAAATACTGCATTTCATTTCACTGCTTTCTATAGTTAACTTGGCTTTTTGTCCTCCACCTGGGGCTCTCACTTTCAATTTACCATGAGACAGTGGGCAAAGACTGAGCTGAAATGCAGTAATTACACCTCCCTGGCCTGGCAAACAGAATCATTTATTTTCCTTATGGATGGAAGCAGCTCTGCAATCCCACAAAAAAACAATACTTCTGCCTTGCCAGATTAATAATGGAAACTCTTGGCTCCCTAGAATTTGAGAAACCTATGGAGATGAATCACAAAATATTGCAATATTTGCATTGAGGAAGGAGAAAGGGTTGAGTCACACCCCAGCCAGGCAGATCTGGTTCCACCTGCAGGAATATTCAAGCAGCACCCAATCCATCACTGCCAGAGCAGCTCAGATCCAAAAATCCTTGGAATTTTGGAGGTCACTGCCCACAGGAGGCTCTCCCAGCTCTTCACCCTCTGGAATTATGGCTGATTCTGGTTTTCCATTCCCTGATCCTTCAGCTTTTGCCACAAATCCTCTGAAGGTTTGGGAAGGCTCCTGAGGGCTTCTCCTAGAAGTGTGAGCATGTCCTGAAACAGAAAGGAAACATGGAATGATTCAGGATTGTATTCCTGTGATTTTTTCATGTATCAAACACCCAGGCCCTCAAAGCCTCATCCACACACTTTGGTGGGTTTGAAAGGATTCTCTTCAAAATCTCTGTCCAAAAATCAGGATTTTTCCCTAAGGAGGGACAGGGAAAAAAAAAGTGAAGCCTCACCTGAGACTGAAGCTCTAAAATCTCAGGTGTGGAGTGAGGAAGGGTCAAAACTCTTGGAGAGTGGCATTTTTAGGGGAAAAAAAAAAGGAATGTGTGGTACAGCACAAACTCCCACCCTGCTCCATCAGGGAGAATCTGAATTCCAGATTTACTGCCAGGAATTAGGGGGATCTGAATTAAAGATTCACTGCCAGGAATCAGGAGAATCTGAATTCCAGATTCTTTCATTGCAGCACCTATAAACTGTAGCATGATTTTTTTTTTCCCACCAATCTTTTCTTACTCTGGAGTAAAGGTGTTCTTCCAATTTCTCTTGGATTAAAGCACTTTCCAGCAGATTTTTTTTGTGCCTGAGAAAGGCAGCCCTGGCCAGCTCTGCCTCCTTGTGCTGGCACTCAGGACATGTTGAAGTCTCGTGGATTTCAGCTTCTGTCACCTGCAAGAAGAAACTTTTGATGCCATGAGCAATGTCTGGCCTGGTAACTTTGAGAAAAAAAAATAATAAAAATACACAGAGGTGCTGTCTAAAGGGAAAAATTGGCAGTGGTAAAATAATTGATAATCATAATTTCATCATCTATAAACGTTCCTATGCTCTGTGCAAAGCCTTAAACACCAAGCAGAGGGGTTATGATTGTAAATTATATTTATGTATTTTATAAATTAATCTGGAGTAATTAGTTCCAACATGCAGCTCTGAGCCAGAATCCAACCCAAACTCTGCAGTTCTGTCTGTAAGAGAATCAGAGCTACTCAGTGACTCCTAGGTTAGTTTATCCACCATGAAATCTCATTTAACAGCATTACACAAATCCCAGGCTTTGTGCTTTTATGAAATATCAATGGTTTTATCTGAGTTCACTGACACAGGATCCATCTGGCTCTATAAACACATTAAATTGCTACAAAAGCAGGGGAATCAACCCAAGAAATTCTCTGTCCCTTTTTCCCTGACTCCTCTGGATAAAAATGTTGTTGTGTGGAGCTGCAGACAGAACCAGAAGAGAAAATAAAGTTACTTTATTTATACTTTTCTTAGGGAATGCATTCCCACAATGTAAGATAAATAAAGAGGAAATAAAAATTCCATAAAATTTACAAGGTGGGTTAACATTATTAGAAATTTAAAAAGCAGATGGCTGAAATGTCAAAATTGTTTTAAAAGGCAGGAAGCCTGAGATAATTATCACACCAGAGCTGACTTTAAAATGTTATTTTTAGGTGCAGGGCTGAAGGGAGGAGCTGGGACATAAAACTCATTCTGTGGTGGGGAAAAACCACTGGGATGGTGACAAAAAAAAAGAGTTTTGAATCCCAGTTCAAAGGGATCTCATTTTAAAGATGAGACAGAGGCTTCTGAATCAGGGGCTGAGGTCAGCAAGATTTTCTTGGAACTGTTTTTATCAATATTATCTAATACCTAAGAAAGCTGGGAGCACAGGGAGCTTTTGTCTTTGGAATATTTCTAATCCTGGAGTCACAAAGAATTCACAATAAATAATATGCAGAATAATTTGATAAATAAATGGGACAAACACAAAATGAGAAAAAAAAAAAGCTTTTTTCTTCAGTTGATCCAGGGCTTCTTGCAAAGGAAATGATGATCCTTGCCCAATCACACAAATCAGGATTTTATCAGCAGATAATATTTGATGATGATGATTTGCTACCAACAGTTCTACAGTGATTTTAAGAAATGAGAAGGATAAAATTTGGGATTTCAACCCAAATCCTCTTGCAGAGAGCCTGGCTAGATCCTGTTATTATGTTTTTTTTTCTCCAGAATTGAGGGAAATCTCCCCCAGTACCTGTTTCACAGCCTGCCTGGTGTTTTCCAGCAGGATCCTGTTCAGCAGCTGGGCAGGAACATCACAACAATTTCCACTCTCACTTTTCCTTGCTGGCATCTTCCACTGCAGCTTCCTGCATTTCCCTGCCTGCTCCTGCTGCATCCTGCTGATCCTGCTGCTGCAGAAACTCCTGAGAGCATCCAGCTCCTCTGGGGAGAATGCAGGGATTGCTGCCAGGAAATCAACACCAAAGGAGCATCAGTGGCTGGGCCAGGGGAAGAGGAATTGTTGCTTTTTTAGTTCTGTGACCTCGTGTTAGTCAAGGGAAACACAAAGGCAGGGTCAGCAACAGCACAGCAGAATTTCAGCACAAATTGAAATGGGAAATGTAGGAACTGGAACAAT